TACTAAATGAGAAAACTACTTAAAGAAAAAACAAAAACCCTATTAAATGAAAAAACTCTTACTAAACGAAAAACTGTTACTTAATGAAAAATTGTATGGCTCTTTTCGTTTGTACAGACGGTCAATTTAGTTTAAGATGGTCTCACGGTTGTCTTCATGCAGCTTCTTTCATGGCTAATTCTTCCTACTTCCTATGTTTGAAGCGCAGATTCTGTCACAGGGCTTGCATGTCAGTGACGTGGATCGAAGCTCTGCATTTCCGTTGTTCTCAGCATGGTTGTTTTCAAGGCTGCTAGATTTAATATGAAAAACTACAAACAAACAAAAATCCCTCTTCCTTCTCCCCAGGTGTACACAGCTACGCCAAGGACCTGCTCCTGATCTCGCTGATCATCGTGGCGTTCGGCGGCTGCTGGTTCCTGTGTCTGCACAACCGCTACTCCCAGACGCAGGTCAAGAAGATGATGAAGGACCTCGAGGCGCTGCAGAAGGCCGAGGACGCGCTCAAGAAACTGAGCAAAGAGTGAGTTCTTCTTCTATATTATAAGTCTGCTCTCTTTACTACTCTGCGTTGTTTTTTGTTGTACCTACTCATTCGTGGTTGGCTGTTTCTTTGAGCGGTTGGTTGGAGGGCTCTACTGATAGGTCCTATTTCATTACTTTTCCTCTGTTGTTTCTGTCTGTCTGTCTGTCTTACTGTTTCCCAGCACTAAATGACCATTCGTGTGTCGATGTGCTTCTCTTTACTCAAACGAAAAGCAACAAAAAAGCAGTTGCTTTGGTGTGGTTTGCACCTTCCATCTCCTTCGTATCAAACATCTATCGACCTGTTCTCTCCTCCTTTTTTTATAAGTGTAAGATGTTTTTGTCTTATAACACAGATATTCTTTGGCACTATTATGACCTCAGTGTCTTGCAAGTGCCATAAAAATCCCACTAAAACTCTTTTTTTTAAAAACCCGAAGCATGTGCGTCAATGTGCATTTTTTCACTGAAACAAAGAGAAACAAACTGATAAGTGAGTGTTATCCTGTCGATGTGCTTTCTTTTCTATACTGAAACAAACAAACTTCTTTCCTATCAAACGTCTATCGTCTTTATCTCCCTTCCTTCTTTTTTGTGTTTGTTTCTCTCTTGTAACACCTCTAATCTTCAGCACTTATATGACCTCATTGTGTTGCAAGTGCCGTAAAAAAAACTTACTAATAAACTAAAATAAATGACCGTTATCTCGTTGATATGCTTTTCTATACTGAAACAAAACAAACAAACAAACAAACAAATAAATGACTGTAATCAATTCAATGTGCTTTTCTATACTCAAACGAAAAAACAAAAAATGGCTGTTATCATATTGGTCGATATGCTTTTCTGCATTCAAACAAACAGACAAACGAACAAAATGGCGTGTAGTAATAATGTTTGTGTTGTTGCTGTGCTGTCCGCAGATTGGCTGAGGCAGAGCGTAACCAGAAATCTGTGAGCCAGGAGAAACAGGAGGAACTGAGGGTGTTACGGGTGAGCTACCACTTGTGTGTGTGTGTGTGTGTGTGTGTGTGTGA